CTACCAGTGATATCGTTCTCGAAGCTCACGTGACCTGGCCCAGCGTTGGCGGGGACGATGGCCGATCGAGTACGACAAAGAACCCTTTCTCTTACTTACGTAAGGGAGTCGGGGAATGACTTGCAAAGTTGAAGCAATGACAGGTTGTCATATTATCCGTGAAGATATGTAGAGTATAGAGTAGACTAAGAAAAAAATGATATTCAACCACCTCATATTCGGATACGGGGAATCGAACCCCGAGCTGCCGCGACCAGCGATGAATGAGAGGCGGCAATGTTAGCCGTTACACCATATCCGAATGCATAACAAATCATGCCGGATATACATACCATTGATTGTCCCTGGGTGTTTGCATGAAGTCGGCATTCTCTCCTGACGTTTGCTAGACAATATGGTCCTACCTGCCGGTTGTGTTGTTTCTATCAGAATGAAGGACTGCAAGGTAAGTATGCAGAGATTTCAGACTAAAGGTTTAACCGAAAAGTAGCGGTATTGTTCCGCGATCAGATCGTGCATCAGCCACTGACGCGGACGCGTCGATTGGTCATGGTCAGCTATAAATAAGGGCGAGACTTACAAAGAACCAACAAGACTACCACTTCCACCCTTTCTCTCCAACCATGAGCACTCCCAACAACGAGCCTGTCGTTCTCCATGAGTTTTCTCCCAAGAACATGCCATTCAGGCGCCTCGGCGCCAGCGGCCTGCGCGTCCCAGTCTTCTCGCTCGGGGGGTGTGAGTGTCGTCACTCTGATGATTTGATAGAAGACGAGAACATCCTGATCCGTTGGTGTACTTAGGGCTTACCCTCGGCGGATCGGTCGTCGGTGATCCTGTCAAGGTTGGTTGACGCCTGGACTTTCGCGATGGTGAGATCACTCACAGCGACGCGCGCGCGCATGTGTGTTATCAGGAGATCATCAAGACGGCATTCGATGCTGGGATTAACATGTTTGATACGGCAGAGGTGTATTCTAATGGAAAGTCTGAGCTCGAGATGTAAGTCGGTCCCCATTGCCCTCTCTTCTTACCCATCTCACTTTCGGGCGCGACCTTACAGGGGACGTGTAATCAAGGAACTCGGCCTGCGTCGCACTGACCTCGTTATTACCACCAAGCTTTTTTGGGGCACGCGCAAGGGTCCGAATGACAGTGGTCTGTCCCGCAAGCAGTGAGTGATTTGGGATATTTATTTCGCGCGATTGATTAAAACTGACTGTCGCTAGCATTGTCGAAGGCACAAAAGAGTCTTTGAAGCGCCTTGGGATGGACTATGTAGACGTCATTTTTGCGCATCGTCCGGATAATACTGTGCCGATGGAGGAGATCGTCAGAGCGTTCAATTGGGTTATCGATCAAGGATGGGTGCGGCGTTTCTGAGTTTCTCTTTTCTTGTATTGATTCTTTAGGCGTATTACTGGGCCACGTCTGAATGGAGCGCTCGCGAGATTGAAGAAGCGTTTCGTAAGCACCTCTATTTAATGCTCTCGCGACCGCTGAGACGATAGCAATCCTAGACGTCGCTGAGAAGCTGAACCTCACGGGACCCATCGCTGAACAATGCCAGCACCAGTTCGTCTCTCGCTTCCTCGCAGTCACACATTTGAGCTCACATTTTCCCTACCAGCATGTTCCACCGCGAACGTCCAGAGAAGGAATACGAGTGCGTCCACCTCTGGATCTTTCCTTCCTTCTTGATTAACATAGCTCAGCCCCTTGTACCGCAAGTACGGTCTTGGTACCACGACCTGGTCTTCGCTCGCCGGTGGACTGCTCACTGGAAAGGTAGTTCAATTATCAATCTTCATCCCAGCAAAGCTTTTGCTAACATTACTGATGTAGTACAATGATGGGATACCTGAAGGCTCGCGCTTCGCCACGACGCCCATGTTTAAGAGCACCGTCGAGTCTCTCCAGACAGAAGAAGGCAAAGAGAAGATCCGCAAGGTAAAGGAGCTCACTAAGCTCGCTGCCGACGGTACGCCATCTCCTTTTCCCGTTACCTTGCTCCAGGGGCATCACTACTGACTATCTTTCCTTCCTCGCGTGCGCGAAATGTAGAATTACAAACGACACCCGGCGCACTCGCACTCGCGTGGGTCGCGAAGAACCCGAATACGTCGACGGTTATTCTTGGCGCGTCGACGCCTGAGCAGCTGAAGGAGAACTTGAAGGCCGTAGAGGTACTCCCGAGGCTCACGGAGGAGATCATGGCCAAGATTGAAGGTATTTTGAAGAATAAGCCGTCACCGCCTGTATGTGTTTTTTTTTTCGGAGCGTGGGTTGCTGAATGTGAGCTGACTTGATGTCGTGGGTAGATTAATCATGGTCGGCCTGCGCTTGATGTATATGGACGTCTTTGAGGGAAGTTGTCTCTTGGCTAGACTAGACTGAGAGTTTTTGTTAGGCAAAGATGATTGTGGAGAAAGGTATATTGAATATATGGAAGGATGCCTGTTGATAATGATGAGTAGGAATAGAATGTATGCTTTTTTCTATCAGTATAGTCTTGAATCGCAGTCGGCTGAAGTCCTTGGTTTTGGGAAAGAACACGCAAGTGGAATCCTTTGTCGTCAAGTATAAGAATCCACAGACATCATTTCATTGGATATGGTGTAACGGCTAACATTGCCGCCTCTCACATATGTTCGCGGCAGCTCGGGGTTCGATTCCCCGTATCCGAATATGATACGTGATCGTTCATTTTTCTGTTTTCCTTCTTAACGAGCAAAATTTAACATAAGAATAAAGCCGAATGGGTTGTATCGTCGGATATGGTGTAATGGCTAACATTGCCGCCTCTCATTGATCCTGCTTCCCGCGGCAGCTCGGGGTTCGATTCCCCGTATCCGAAACGGTGAAGTTCTTCCGTTGGTTGTTATTTTTTCCTCCCCTCTGATCTTTAGACTGTCAGTGTCACCGGATATGAGGCCTTTGCTTATCATTCCGGAAACAGACGAGCAAACAACGTTGTCTATTAATCCATCGTTACCTTCTGACCAGGATTTGAGGCGATGGCCTCTTCTCCAACTCAAGGGAGGGTTAAGTGCGAAACCGGCATGCTACAGAGTGTTTCGTTGATCTCGTCCTTACGTGCTCAGGCTAACTTGTTAAAGTACATATACTAAGCGGGTGCCATTATTGTCACATATCTCATCTTAAATAATGCACGACCCGCGAACGCGTCGAGGACGCGACTGGTCAGGTGACCTTCGCAATAGCCTGCCCTCAATTGCGTCGTGACATGTACCGCTTCGTGCAACTTGGTCTCCAGGATTCCAGATCGCCGCTGCGTCGCTGAAAGAGAGCCATTAGTGTCCATTGCAAGGCGAAGGTGTGCCTTTCTGCTGTTTGAATATTACACGATGGTTTGTTGCGTTGCGGCTGCTTTGAAAGCCCGGAAGTCTGACTACATCTCGCTTCGTCGCTTCAGGTTGTTTTAGCAGCTTCGATATGTACAAAAGGCGGCAAAGGTGAGCAGCGTAGCCTGTGGAAGTGGATATATATACTCACCTGGTCGTCGTAGCCGTCATTTCTCGGCAATTCCGGGACATGACACGCGCGAGAATCGAGTCTCTACTTGCGTCGTTTCCAAAACTCATCCCGGCAAATACACAACACACCTCGGTCGAAACTTCCGACGTTCGATATGTCTACCAACCGCTAGAAGATCTTTATATACTCTTGATAACGAACAAGGCTTCAAATATCCTGCAGGACATCGATACGCTTCATCTTTTTGCGCGCGTCGTCTCGGACCTCTGCAGGAGCGCTGACGAGCGCGAAATTCAGAAGAATGCATTTGAGCTTCTCGGGGCGTTCGACGAGATTGTGAGCATGGGATATAGGGAGAATGTTAATCTGATGCAGGTGCGGAACGTGCTGGAAATGGAAAGCCACGAAGAGAAGATACAGGAGATAATCGCCAGGGTGTGTCTGCCGTGGCATCATCCTCGTGGCTCAAGTTGCTCATGCTCTTTTGCAGAATAAGGAAGCGGAAGCGAAAGAGGAGCTTAAACGCCGCGCGAAGCAGCTTGAGATGCAGCGCCGGGAACAGCAGCGACGAGCGGCAGGTGCAGGTGGTAGCAGTTATCTCAACAGCAGCAATTCTATGTATTCGCCCGTGCCACGATTCGAAGCTCCCGAAACACCCGCGCCCATCACCCGCACTACTTCGACCCCTGCTTCTCGCCCGCCGGCGTTCAAGGGCACGGGCATGAAACTGGGTGGCAAGAAGACGAAGCAGGCAGAGCTGATTGATGCGCTTGGGGGTGACGTCGCTGCAAGCGTTGCAACTTCAGATATCTCCGTCCCTCCGACACCATCAGCCTCCTCCCAGCCTCAGCATCCAACTGCAGTAAAGCACGACGAGCGCGGCAGCTTGCCTGAGGTCCAGGTGGAGAGGTACGTAACTCGAGCTTGTCTTGTACACTTTCCACGTTTGATGCTGAATGGAACTCTGCCTCATTGCATTGCAGCGTGCACATTGCCATTAAGGAAACCATCTCGCTGTCCCTGCTGCGGGACGGGGGCGTGGAGTCGATGGAGCTCAAGGGCGACATGAACCTCCAGATCTCAGATCCAGCTCTTGCCCATTTGAAAATCGCACTATCTTCGCCTTCGACGGATTTTGGTGGAAACAGCCTGCAGTTTAAGCAACACCCTAACGTTGCTAAGTTTGCACCGGGTCAGGAGCGAGTCGTTTCGCTCAAAGACCCCTCGCGGGCCTTCCCAGTTGGCCAGAGCTTGGCTGTGCTCAAGTGGAGATACGCTGGCACAGACGAGAGCAACGTCCCTCTGTCCAGTAAGCTTAACCATACAGTCTAACTAAGTTGCTTCCTTTCCCTTTCTAACCGGATGCATATAGTTAATTGCTGGCCCTCACCTTCGAATGACGGCACCTGCGAAGTCAGCATTGAATACGAACTCGAGAACGAGAACGTCACCCTTCACGACGTCGTCATTTCTATTCCCCTTCCGTAAGTCCAGAACTCGACCTTCCCTAACTAACTCTCGACTTACCACCTCATCCTTTCCCCCCTAAAAACCTAATCTAGGACTGGCTCGTACCCCACCGTGTCGTCACACACGGGCGAGTGGTCCCTCGACCCGGGCTCACACTCTCTCGCATGGTCCGTCACGCGCATATCCGCGGCGGACGACACGCGCTCGGGCTCGATGATTTTCACTGTCGGCGGAGATGACGCAAGCGCGTTTTTCCCTGTCCATGTGACGTTTGTGGGCCAGGGCAGCCTTGCTGGTGTCGGCGTGGCGTCTGTGAGCAAAGTCGGAGGTGAGAGCGTATCGGTGTTCTCAGTCGATGCGGTTGTTTCGACGGAGGAGTACCTTGTGGTTTGAGCATGTGTATGTGTAGAAGGGGTTTTTTTCTCTCAATACCCGCAAAATCCTGCTGCGTTGCCCTTTTTGTTGCGATTGGCGATTTGACGACCGGCTCGACTATCGACCAATGATTGATCAGATTTTGCGTGAGTTGTGGATGGTTGATCAGACATTTTATGGTTTAGCATGAGCTGCTTGCCGAACCTTTCTGCAGCACAGTAATGAGAATTATCGATTTATATGAAGATGGACCTCTTTTTTGCACAACCTACTGGGTACCGAATGTCGTACATGGTACCGATAGCAACGAAGGTGGATCAACAGGTTTAATTTCATAGAATGAAGACTCAGCCCTACAGTACCCGGTCGCTTAGAGTAAACATGTTTTCCGCGTTTGATAATAACACGCAGTTACCGAAAGGTTTCTCGAACCACTTGCAGGTGAGATATTGAGCCACATCAGAACTTCAAACTGAAGCTCCAGCTTCAACGTTCAACTTTTAAACTTACATAAGGCACGTTATAATTACCCACCAACATTCGATTTCCAGACTTTTGACTTTTGGAAATTTCCATGCAACTTTCATGAAGGATGAATGCAGCCAAGGCCGTCATCACCACTCCAGAACTGTTCCATCTTATCTTCTCGTTTTCCGTCGTACA